CGGCGTATGACCGTAGGACGAGGAGGATGGCGTCTCGTTGGTCCTGGGGGAGTTGCTTTCCGACCCTGAGAACCCGCTCCGGCCGGGAGGTATCCAGAGGGATTTCCTCGACCTCCTCGGCCGGCTCCGCATGTGGCCTCTCCTCGTCCATGGCGACGGCGGCCGTGATGGTGTCTATCCGCTGTCCTTCCCTTTCGGCCGGCCTCGTCAGCTTGAGGTAGCAAGCTCTGGCTATCTTCTGGTTTCCTCTGGCGTAGCCGATGCCGTCATTGGTGGGAAACTTCAAGCATAGGTGCTTCATGGAGATGATGGCCTCCAAGTCCTCTAGCGCTGGCCGGCCCAAGATCAGGTTGTGGGTGCACTGGAGGTTGACCACCATGAACTCCATGTCAATTTTGGCATGGTGGGGGCCGTCACCGACTTCCACGGGGAGGACTACCGTGCCCTCGGCGTCGATAGAGTCCCCGGTGAAGCCGGATAACGGGGTCTTGATCAGCTTCAGCAGAGCTCTGTCCAGCTTCAGCTGCTTGAAGGTGTCTAGGTACATCACGTTGACGGAGCTCCCCGTATCGATGTAAGTGCGGTGGATGATGGAGTCACCGATCTCACATCGGATGACGAGGGCGTCCCTGTGTGACTCCGTACCCGGAGGCAGATCCTTGTCGGTGAAGGTGATTGCCTCCGTTCGCTGCTTCTTCGGCTGGGGGGGAACGTGGGACACCTCTCCAATGTAAAGGGATTGGGCCCATTTCTTCCTCTGAGTGGCGGAGTCCCCCCCAGTGTTCCCGCCTACGATAAGGTGGATGTGATTTTTCTTCGGCGGAGGCTCCTCGAAGTCCTCGTCGTCGCTGAGCCTACCAATCTCGCGCTTCTTCACAGAGGATTCGCCCCCACGTTTGCCGGTGTTTACCCAAGTGTTTTTGCGTGGGCCACCTTTGACAAACTGGGAGAGTTCCCCCTGGCGAATAAGGCGCTCGATGGCCTTCTTCAATGTGATGCAATCGTCGGTGTTGTGTGACGAGTTCTTGTGGAACCGGCAGTACGTGCCGCCCTGCTGGATGGCCAGGACCTCCTCGGCCGGCCGAGGAGCCTGCTCGATGAGGCCGTGCTTCTCGGCATAATCGAGGATGGTGCCGACCGGGTGGGTGAGGGCTACCCCCGGCCGTTCCAGCCTCGGCTGCCAGTGGCGGTCTTTCTTACTTTGTCCACCAGAGCTGTGGCGGCCCTGGGCACCCTGGCCGGCCGGGGACGGCGAAGGATTTGTCTTCCTGGGGGGATGGCCCCCCTCTCTCTTGTGATTGTGGAGCTCGTCGGCGTCGGCATACAAGCCTCCGCGTTGGAGCGCCTTGGCGTACGACCTCGGGGGGTCAGTGATGAGGCTATTGGCTTACGGGGAGCTGCGGAGGGCTCCCTGGTACAAGGCGAGGAGGGTGCGCTCATCGGCCCCCTCGACCTCCTCGGTCTCCCTCGTCCACCGGTCGATGAATGACCGGAGGGACTCCTCGTGCTGCTGTTTGACGGCGAGGAGGTGGGTGAAATACTTCTTGGCGCGCTTCCTCCCGGCAAAGTGAGTGAGGAAGCGCTGGGCGAGATCCTGCCATGAGTCAATGCTTCCCTCCGGCAGTCCGTTGAACCACTCGTACGCTGGCCCCTCGAGAGTAGAGAGGAACCAACGGCAGAGGTATTCGTCTGACGCATTCACCATCAGCATGTTGTTTTGATAGCGGCTGAAGTGCTCCTGGGGGTCTGATCGGCCATCATAGGACTTGATGGCGTTCCCCCTGTATTTCTCAGGGATGGGGGCCGAGAGGACCCTGTTGGTGAAAGGGGTCCTAGTCCTGACCTGGATGATGGGGTCACCCCGCCCTTCGGCCAGCTCCCTCTCCAGGGCGCTGACTTTGTTCATGAGCGCGTTGAGGCCGGGGTCGTTGGAGGCGCCGGCCGTAGGGATGTTGGCTGACTGCTTGGCCTCCATCTGAGCCAACCTCCTTTCCAGCTGGGCGATGACCTCGTCTCGGGGGTCCCTGGTGACCGTAGCGCCGCCCGGCTGGTTCCTCGTGCGCTCGTTGTGAGCCGCGTTGATCTGGTGACGCACGTCATCTTCGTGCAACTTTCCCTTGCCCTTGTCCGGGCGGGGCTGGTCCGCTGTCCGGGACACAGACCCCAAGCTTTCCCTTGGCGAGCCAGGACGAGGATCACCAATCCGTCCCGCCATCCTCTCCGAAACCGGACGACGGCGCGTGTCACCTAGCCTATTGAAGGCAGAGGCTTTTCCACGCGCTGGGGTCTGCCCGGGCCGAAGAGGGGAAGCAGGGTGGGAGTGGGACGACGCCGTGTCCTGGGCCACAACCCCCTCATTATTGCCTATCTGGTCGGCCAGTGGTTGGGGATGAGGAGGTGGAGTGACGTTTCCCCCGGTCCTTGGCAAGAGTGCGCTGAGGACGGTGGGATTCTGAGCCAAGCTGGCGATGATAGCCGACAGTGCGGCCTGGACCTGAGGATCCACGGACGGAGAGGCCGCGGCCATAGGCTGGGGCGAGGCGTGGTCCGCTTTCTCAGCTCGTTTCTTTTCCAGGCCGAGGCGGGCGTCGGGGACCCCGCCGTTGAGTTGGTTGCGGAGGTCCGTCGTGAGGTTTAAGGCCTCCTGGAAGAGGTCCCCTCCGCCGACCTGGTCGGCCGTTGCGTCCTCATCATGCTCCCTGGGCTCTTGGTCCTCAGGGATGACTTTGCTGACGAGGTTGCGGTTTGACTTAGTTCTCCCCATGATCAGTGGTTAGCTGTGCTTGGTAGCGACGAAGGGTGCTAACTTGATTGTTCTAGCTCTCAACGAAAGCACCAAATGATAGAATATATCTCTTAGATTCTAGAGAGAAGTGAGAGCTAGAGAGAGAAGTGCAATATATGCTTCAATAGAATGATTTTGTAACCCCTATAACTACTCCCAAGGGGAGTATTTATAGAGAAAACTAGGGTTGGGCTCCCAAGCCTTGGGCTTGGGAGGCCCATTTACAACTGGACCGCTACTGGGCCGAATACAAAGCCACTAATGGGCTGTACAAATGAGTAAGTATAGGATCCGACTCTGGGAGGTCTTCGTGGCCGACGAGGGCACGGCCGACGAGGGCACGGCCGACGAGGGCACGGCCGACGAGGGCACGGCCGACGAGGGCACCCGAGTCCCTTAGACTCAGGACCGTAATCTGAGTTGGCTTCCTCTCGGCCGACGGGGGCGTCTTGGCCGACGAGGGCGCCACTCTGTTGTCTTGTGCTCTGTTCTTCCGAGTATGTGGGTCCTGGGGCTCAGACCCATATACTCCATCAGTAACCCAAGCGAAATATGCTCACTACTTTCTCAGCAATATACTCTCTCTCTTACTTATGCTCTGACTTCTCTCTAGTTATTCTCCGCAATAACCCCTCGGATAAGCTACCCCCCAGGTACACTATCCATCAGGCTTGGTTCGGTTTGTTAACAGTCCTAATCATGACACAACCGGTTGTAGCGTACAATTTGCGTGACTGTTCTTTTTTCAAAAAAGATCAAGAGTTAATGCATTGGGAAAAGTACGAGAAAGGTACTTGTAGTTGGACCCGTTTTCAGATTGGGTCATGGACTCATGTGTTTCATTTTTTGTCAAAGTGGTTCATTTGTTTGAATTCCGTTATCACAAGAGGGTCACACCGTTTAAAACGTCTGAGGAAGACAGTTAATAGTAACTCTGATTTCCAATAGTGCCCGAAAAAATAAAAGAAAAATACCGGAAGGTGCGACTCGCCAAGATGACCTCCAAACCACCTCTGCCTTTGATTTTTCTAATCTGTTTGGATTATTTTTTAAAATTGAATTTGCTAATATCACTTCTCTGGTGGATTTTTCGGTGATAAGGGTGACTGAAAACAAGAAAGGAAGATGGTCTAGCGATCGTTTTGTTGAGGCGCACCTTCCGGTATTTTTCTTTAAATTGTCTGGGCACTTTTGAAAACCAAATTTACTGTTCACCGTCTGTCTCCGACTATTTTTAACGACGTCAGGTGGGTGAGAGGACTCAAAACCCTTTTGTGATAATGAAATTCAAACACATGAATCACTTTGATAACAAATGAAACACATAACCGTATCTGAAAACAGATCCAAACCCAAATACATTTTCCGTACTTTTCACTAATTCGTTTTGGGCTCAAAAGAAAAATTTGTGACCATTTGATGATCCGGACAAAAAGGTCACTAACTTTATTTGAATATCCCAATTTACCCCTACTATATACTCCAATGAAACCTAACATTTCAATTTCTCAAATATGGAATCGTCGCACCATCTCTCGCCCATCCAGCTCGTCGATCCATCTCACCCATCTAGCTGCCGCCGCTCAGCTCTCACTCGTCGTCGCCGTCTCCACCGATTAGCTTCCACTCACCGCCGCCCAGCTTCCACTCGTTGTCGCCTCAGCTTCCGCCGCCACCGCCCAACTTCTACTCGCTGCCGCCTCAGCTTCCACCGTCGCCAGCTCGAGCAGTCGCCAGGCCACCGTCTCCACCCCTACCTTCGTCGCCATCTTGAACGTCACCACTGACTCCTGTCCAGATCCGTCTCTAACCTAGGTCGTCATCGTCGTCGATGTCACTCAGGTAAGCTTCTATGTACTATCTTCTCTTCTGCCTGAACAGTCGAAGATCGAGGATGAAGAATCTGATGGATACGACTATGAGGGTTCAGATTTGTGATGAGATTTTCCGGGCGATTTCGTGCGGCGCGCCGACGGCAAAGGTCAACACCGAACGGGTGAGGCTACGGACTGGTGGCTATTGAGGTCGCCTCTGGAATGGGAGTGGATGGGGTAGGCTTGTGGGAGCAGTGGGGCAGGGGTGGTTGGTGTGGGCTGGGGGGCGGGGACAGCGGGGTCAATGGCTAGTCTAGTGTGACATGGGAATATCCGGTAGGGCTGGGGGCGGGACTGGTGGGGCATGGGGTGGGGTTAGGCGGTTACAGGCGGCCGTGTGCGGGGTGGCCATTGGTAGGGGCATCAACGGTCAAGACGGCCATTGTCACTAGCGGGGCAACGGTGTCACTATTGGGTTGGTCATTGGGGTAAGGTGATCAGTGAGGTCAGGTGGTAGCTGGGGTCGGGATGTCACTGGAATGTAATTAGTGACCATGGTGTGATCTGTGAGCGTTTTGTAACTGTGATATTGGTCACTCAAGAATGAATATAATCACTAGGAATGTCATTGATCACTCTGAAATAGAATCAGTGTAAAGTTGGTCACCGTGACATTTGTCACGGTAGCGGATCTGTTGTCCTTAATAAGGGCATAATAGTTTTCTTAGTCTTTTTTAGACACATTTTTGTAATTTCTAAAAATGTCATTTTTTTGTCCTGTAGTTAATTTTTAGTAATATTCGTGTCGTACTCGGAAGATTATTAAGTGATGACTGTCTAGTGCCTACCGATCACACTTTTATTAAATTAAAATGATTATTTTAATTTAATATAGAGAAAGTGTTGTGTATGAAAAATGAAATGGAAGAGAGAGATAGAGGTAAATTGTAGACGATGTCTATGACAACGTACATAAATAGACTTTACACGGGAATCGAGAAGCAAAAGTGGATGAAAAATGGTTTAGAAGTGATATAAAAAATTGAAAATTAAAATAATTATGAAGATATGTAGGTCCCATACATAAAATTTGTGAGATAAAAAATGGGAGCTAAGGTTTAAGATTTTGTAAGAGAATAGACATTCCGATCCCATCCGTCAACGATAACTAACTCCTTCCGCGTACACAACCGCTACTCACTCTCGATCTCCCCCTTGCCAACGCAAAACCCGCGTAGACAGCAATATCGGAAGCAACGGAGTAGCAAAGGAAAAAAGGAATTACCGATCAAAAACCTGTCTGCTTTCAATTTGTCGTCGAATTCATTTTCAAACTAATCCTGATATACATTTCACGGTCACGGTTTCTAGCACAACTACTTGACTCTCTCCCAGGTGGGCATTCTTGATCATTTCGGTCTTCTTGTTTATTATAGCTGGAATTTCTAATTTTAATTACATCTTTTGATTTTCTACGGATAATTCACATTAATGTTTTTTCCCTTGATGTAGAATTTTGTTTTCCATTATTTATGCGTATTCCCATGGTTGGAGATGGCCAAGTTTCTGTTTTCCCATCCGAGCAAAAGTATTATTAGCATATGGATGATCACAACAAAGATTCGACCTTTCACAGGCCGACCCAACACATTGAAGTGAGTTTTCCCTTCAATTACTTTGCATCTATAACATCCAGCAGTCTCTTGGCATTCTTTATGGTTTTGATGCCTAAAAGAATGGTGAAAACGGATGCCTCTCTAATGTGCACTCTGTAATTGCATGAGACAAACAATGTTTTCCTGTTTGATTTGTTAGTTTGCTATTTTAAAAGCAATACACTCTATTAGATTTGAGTAAATGGAGAATGGAGAATGGGGACTCCATCTTATACAAGGTAGTTTGAATAATTGAAGGGTACCAAGCTTTTTTATAAAGGTCATCATTATCATTTTTGCTCAACCATTAATTAGAAGACAAGTTATTAACCATCTTTTATGATGGAACCTCAACTTTTAACACATCTGGGAGAGGGATCTGTCATTCCTCACCCTAACCATTGCCTATATATAGTACTACCCCCCCCCCCCCCCCCCCCCCCCCCCCCCGGTTAAACATAATTTTGCATACGTGACTTGCAATTATTTGTAATTAGATACTCTAATAATATAAGTTCATCAATATTTGTAAAGCGAGTCATTTGTCAATTTTTTGTTTGTATTGCTCATTGTAGTGGCAATATGGTGATGACATTCGTGAATATACATTTTTTATTTGTAATATTTTATCTGATCAATAATACTCCGTATCAATTATGTTTCGTTATATACTTCGTATATTTTACTATGCTTTGAACATGCTTAATCCCATTGCTCTCAATAAAAATATCGAATACCCTATCAAATTCATGGTATATATACTGTCATTCTCTTATGGTACATTCCACCAACTTTGCTGGATCATCACTTAAGTAAAGTTATTTGCTCTTTTCTTTCACAGGAAAATAAGTCATGTCCAAATTCCCATACTATATTACTTTTGGATTTCTGGGAATCTGAGATAAAGATTACAAATTTATGCATGAGAATCGACTTAAAATATTCTCTATTAACATCTTGTATCGGCAATGATCTAATTTGTAAATTAAAAAAAGATGGATAATGGTAGGTAAAAAAGTTGATGCACCTGCTCATATTGCTTGAGATCTATTCCACCTTCAATGATTATTAGGACTATTAGTCTATTATGTTCTAATAGAGAGGAGTTTGTTTCAGCAGATGGGATCATTAGATGGAAGAGCTGTACTTGAGCTCCAGGATGAGAGCCTTGCCAGCCCAGGGCATGTTAACATGAAGCCAGCATGCCTGGATGCTTCTCCTCGCAGATTCTACTTTAAAACCAATTCTGATGATCTCAGTTGTAAATGTATATTGAATATGGTGTTAGCCAGCATTAAACTCGTACTGTTATCCAAAAAATTGAATATTCTGATACCTTGTGGCCCACTGGCAGTTCTTGTTGATAAGTTTTCTAATCACCATGTAATTTTCTTTCCTCTCCGATCTTTTCTAACTATCTATATATATGTGCTTATCATGTATGTCTTCTCTGCAGGGGTGGATCTTCTTCTTAAGCTTGTTAGGCATCATACCACTCGCGGAGCGTTTAGGTTGGACGACAGAGTAAATTCACTTTACCTTCCGCCTTGAGGCTTTTTGTATATCCGTTCTGTACATCAATCAAATTTGACCATTATATTGTTACCAAACACTATTGCAATGGAGCCAAAGATTCATTTTTTTGGCTTGAGATTATGATGGAATAAAGCAAAATGACTCACTAAACTGCCTGCGCTTCTTTGTTATGGAGCAGCAGTCAGTCCATGCAATTTTGGACGCGATTTTCACTATGGGTCATCCGAAACAGTCTCTCTGTGCTTTAGTACAGGGGTAAGACTGCGTACATCCGACCCCCCTTACCCCCCACCGTAGGTGGGAGCCTTTGCGGCACTGGGTAAATGAAAATGATTGTTACCAAACACATTACTTTGCTAAGATGTTTCCAAAATTTCTATGTTTTCAATTTCATATGATGAGAAAGATATCACAGTTTACCAGTTTTTGTAAGGGGCTCTTATCACATACATACCTTTTACGGTCCTACAAAAGTGCATATCAGAGTAAAAGTGCTTCATTTGTTTCTATGAGAAAATAGCTAGGAAGTAGAGTTAATATCATTAAAGGCATTCATATTGGATTTAACTTGATTTCATACGATATACGATATAATGCTTGAGTATTCATGCAATGGAGTCAGTAATTTTGGGTTGTATTCTACGCAGGCAGATGGCTTTTTATACTGGTCCTACAGGTTATATCCTTTGTTCATATTTGCATCTCATCTTTAAATCTATTAGTTTCCCCCCTTATTGGTGTTTGGCTTTATATGCACAACATGTCCAGTATCATCATTTTTTGGTTTTATTTTTGTAAGCTACTAGTTCACAACTTTTAATACTGAAAATTAAATCAAGAAATATACACAAAAATCAAAATATTAAGGTTCCCAAAAAACCCTGCCCAGAAAGCCTTAAAACTAACTACAGGCAAGCCCAAAACTTTTTTTAGAGCTAAATTTGATGCAACTTCTCTTTTTCTGGGCCAGTAAATATATAATGGGACCTAGAGGGACTCATGGATATTTACCACTGTTTTATGGGAGCTTGTTTTCAAAGATTTAATTCACTTACAGCCTGACCAAAGGGTCTACAGATTGTTACACCAATTCAGACATTTAGGGTATGTTTGGGAGTTTGAAGGGGAGGGGAAGGTTTTGAAGGTTAGTTATTGGAAGGGAAGGGGAGGGAAAGGGGAGGAAACCCTCCTTGTTTGGGAGTAACAAATTTGAAAAGATAGAGGTTGTGGATGAGTTATAATTAAAATTACATCACATATATGATAAATTCAAATAGTTGAATTTATATTTATTTAAAATTGAGCTAGAATTGTCATTGAAATATTTATCCTTAAAATCTTCAATTTGGGGGAACTTAAAAATTGAGCATTTAGAGGGTTTTGGAGGGTTACAAAAGTCCTCCGAAACCATCCCCTCCATATTTTTAAACTCCCAAACATGAAAGGGAGAGTCATAAACCCTTGTCAACCTTCCCCTCCCCTCCAAAACCCAACACTCCCAAACATACCCTTAAGCACATTATATACCAGGATCAACACAGACGGATAGCCTAAATATTCCTAATATTCTGAGAAAATTTATGTTTGAACGTGTTTTAGATAGAAATATTCTTTGGGTTGGATTTAAGACTACTGGTGTGCACTTTGCTTCTTTGTTCATGCAAAACACTGACAGATTGCTTGGCTTAATTTGGGATTTTGTAGTTGGAGGTCTTCTAAATGCCACCTTTGGAAATGCAACAGAGTTGATAATTTCAATGTATGCACTTAATAGTGGGATGATGCGAGTTGTTCAGCAGTCACTTTTGGGCTCAATTCTGTCGAACATGTTACTGGTTCTTGGATGTGCATTTTTTGCTGGAGGAATTGTTCATCCTAACAAAGAGCAGGTTTTCAACAAGGTATGTATATCCGTGCATGGTCACTTTTCCTTTTTTTTGTTCAATCAAAGGGTTTAACTGTATTTATAATAGGAGGATGCTTTTTATATATTTAATGTTAGGGAACTGCAGTTATGAATTCTGGGTTGCTTTTGATGGCTGTAATGGGACTGATGTTACCTGCTGTCCTCCATTTTACACACACTGAGTTACACTTTGGAAAATCAGAACTGGCACTCTCAAGGTTTAGTAGCTGTGTGATGCTTGTCGCATATGTTGCCTATCTTTTCTTCCAGCTCACTAGCGAAAAGAGTCTTTATGTGCCCATTGCAGAGGTCAGTGTTTAGTATTACATTTCACATTCTTTATTATCATTAAGACTTGGATTTCCATCCTAAAAAGCTAACATGATAAGAGTAGTTCAAGGAGTAGTTGTTGCCTTATACCTGAGCGTATATCTTTATGTTTGGCTGTTTGGGATAATTTAACATGCTCTGCACGATGGTGGCTCTTTGAGGACTTCGATACCATATGAAGATATGGGATTCAATCTTAAAAACTCACCACTCTAAAAGAGTAGCTCAAGACCTTATATTTTGGTTTGTATCTTAATATTTAGCTAGTGTAGGATAACTTAATCATTATTATTGCTTATTTTAGTTTCTACATTTTTGTACGATCTTAAAAAACTTGTGCTCACTTTTTAGGAAGGGAGTCAAAATGATGGTGACCTTGATGATGATGATGAGGCTCCTGAGATATCAATGTGGTCATCAATCATATGGCTTTCTATCTTGACAGCATGGATAGCTCTTCTATCTGAGTACCTTGTCAATGCTATAGAGGTAGCTTAATCTTGCAAATTTACCACTTTATTTTTTACAATATTCTTGCATTCTACTAGTTGAATTACATAACATCCATGGGACTAGATTAACAAACTATACCACTGGCTTATAATAGGAGTACACACGGGTCATGTGTACAAATACCAGTATCCTGGTTTTGTTCTAAAAATATGGCTCATTCAGCCATATAAAGAATGAAAGTTGTTAATAGTTATTTTTAGGAACAGGTCAGTCTCATTTTTGGGACCAAACAATTAAAATTCTATTTGAAAAAGAATTTTATACTTGGTCCCATTTATGGAATTTTCCATGTATTATTTTCCTACTTATGAACGATGTGACATCAATAGGACAAATTCTTTTTTGATTGGATTTTGTGCTATAAATGAATGTGATTTAGGGAGCATCTGCTGCAATGAGCATCCCAGTTTCATTTATAAGTGTGATCCTGCTCCCTATTGTTGGCAATGCTGCAGAACATGCTGGTGCTGTCATGTTTGCTGTGAAAGACAAGCTTGTGAGTATCCTCCTGCCTACCTACTTTCATGAAAATATGGTTAAAGGTGAAAAAATGAACCCCTCGTTTATTCAATGGTGGTGCAGGACATCTCTTTGGGAGTAGCCATTGGATCTTCTACGCAGATAGCCATGTTTGGCGTAAGTATATTTTATAAATATTATGTATGATGAATATCTCTTTGGAATTTAATCGATACAAGACCCGAAAGATAGATTTAACTATCAACCAAGGTTCTAAAAAAATGAATGAGAACTATCAATTATAGGACGTAAATAATTCAAGCATCAGCCTGAGACTAAAAAATCATGACTTTTGAATCTTTTTACTTGAAATATTTTCATGTAAATTCTATATGGAAATTCCCTCTTGTTTATATTAGATTTAATCAAGGATATTTGAAAAACTACCAAGAAAGAATTAAGAATGATGTTTCTTTCAAGTCTTCTTTTATAGTTTGCTCATTACTGTTCTTAGAAATAAGAATACATGTCTAGCTCTTTGCTTCGGTGCTAGGCCTCCCTTTCCCGCCTCCAATTTAGAATAGAGATGTATACCTATCTTTTTCACCCTGTATGTATTTTAGTAAGTACCATTCATGGCATTGAATTGAATTGCTTGTTTTTTTACTTGTGACTATGTATTTATTGTTGCAATGTGTTTGCAGATCCCTTTCTGCGTGGTTGTTGGGTGGATAATGGGGCGTCCAATGAACTTGGACTTCCAACTTTTTGAAACTGCCACCCTTTTTATGAGTGTCATTGTAGTTGCCTTCATGCTGCAGGTTTGTGATTTACATACATACAATAATTGGTTTTAAAATTTACTCCGTATATAGTTTGTTTTTCTTTAATATGTACTATTAGCTCTTTTCATTCTTTCCCATCATGTGTTGTGTCTGTTATCGGGGTTTATTTCTTATTAGCATTTATTTGCCCTTATATATTTCCTTAAATGGTTTCTGCAGGAAGGAACTTCGAATTACTTTAAAGGACTGATGCTCCTCTTATGTTATCTGATAGTAGCCGCAAGTTTCTATGTACATATGGATCCCAAGTCTATACGTGAGTTGCCCCTCTCACTCCTCTTCTGGCCTAATTTTTTGTTACGTCAAGGTCACTCAACTGAGGCATGCTTATGTGCCAAGGGATACTGAAAGATAAAGCCGAATTGAGTAACTAAGCTAACTAAAGGCTTTATCGACCCATCTAGATATTATTATCATCCTTCCGTCCTAATACCATTTCAGTATCATATATAATAACAGCCACCTTTCGATATAAAATGAAATTTTGGCAATTTCACATCACAGAGGATAAGCCAATTGGGACATAGCCAGCCGGATCTGCAGAAGAAGCTGTAGCCATAAGCATATCACGCCTACTAATTTTGAAGAGTTATTTGTGCTGCCCAGATTGACTGCTAGATGTGAATTCCACCAAGTTCTTTGCTATATATCATCTACAAAAGGTAGCTGGTGGATGTATAGTTTTATTATTCCTTTTCTGGAAATTTTGTTCAACACTAGTTTTTTAGTTATAAACGAGCTGTTTTTCTCCGCCATTTTTTGGATGGGGTTGTATTTCAAAAAGTCCGGAAATAGCAATCAATATTGTTGTACTTGGAGTTGTGGAGTAATTAATCCTCTGCACAGTTATTGCTCTCATTGTTCATTGTACATGTTACCAAGTTTCTCAAAACGGTCACCGTTATTGATCATCCCTGAAAAAATGCAACCTTTATACATTACCTTCTTTAATTTATTTGGACCCAGACCTGGTGTTGTGATGTACACTTTCCTTTCTCTTCTTGTAGCATATTCCTCTTCCTCTAAGTGTTCCCCTACACACTCATGTTCTTCATTCCTCTAATGGAAGCTGTGGAACTCTTTTCTGATGTGGGTAGTAAAATTTCATATGTGGGTCTTTTTTGACAAAATAAAGCAGATTTTAAATTCAAGAAATAGTTTTCATCAAAACGAATTCAGTTTTGTGAGCATTTAAAAGCCTCGTAGTACTAAATGTCTAAATATTGGAAGGAAGTCTCTTTGTTGCTTTTTATAGCCTGCAAAACTTTTAATCATTAATCTTGTTATTTTACATACAAGAAAAATTAGAGTTCACATTCAATTTTAATTGTGTATAATTTCACTGTTTTTAGGGAGCATGTGTGTTGCGTTTGTCAAAAACGAAGGATGAATTCAATTTTAAACATTTTTCTTGCGATAAATTAGATCAACTCATCAACTAAAAATGAATATTGTGTCGGTCAACCTTAGTCCTTAGGGCTCGATCCGGGTGGCTATAGCGGAGATGGACCCGGACCCGGTCCAGACCAGGTTCTGGTCTCGGACCGGCCGGTCCGGATCAGGTTGCGATTCCGGATCGGCCGCTCTGAGTTTTATTTACGAAGACCGGAACTGACCCGGGTTACAACGTACCCAGTTCCGGTCCGGTCTACTTGGCCGGTCCTGGTCCGGGTTCGGGTCATTTTGATTTTTTAAATTAAAATTTATTGTACACATAAATTAAAATCCTGATTGATGAGACGCAATCAGGTCTTAAAGCAAAGTTGGAACTTGGAAGTATGGTGATAAACATTGGAGAATAAGGGTTTCAAACTAAGTCGGAGCAAGACAGAGTACATGGAGTGCAAGTTTGGTGGAGGTAGAAGTAGTGGTAATAGCGGAATTACTCTGGATGGTAAGGAGATACCAGTCAGCGATATGTTCCGTTACTTGGGCTCCATAATTCAGAAGGACGGTGAGTTAGATGGAGATGTATCCCATAGAATCAGAACATGGTGGATGAAGTGGAAGAGTGCGTCAGGATTTCTGTGCGACCGAGGTATGCCGACTAGACTGAAGGGTAAATTTTATAGGACAACAATTAGGCCTGCATTACTGTATGGCGTAGAGTGTTGGGCGGTGAAACAATGTCACATTCAAAAGATGAGTGTGGCAGAGATGCGCATGCTGCGTTGGATGTGTGGGCATACTAGGAAGGACCGCGTGAGGAATGAGACAATCAGACAAAGGGTGGGAGTAGCACCTATTGAAGACAAGATGCGGGAGTCGCGCCTACGGTGGTTTGGTCATGTGCGTAGAAGACCGAGTGATGCACCTGTTAGGCGAGTTGAGATGTGTGGAGAAGAGGCAGGGAAGAGAGGGAGAGGAAGACCCAAACAGACGTGGGTTAGGGGAGTTCGAAGTGATATGCTTCTTCTGGGGTTGGATGAGGGCATGACTTTGGAGAGAACTAAGTGGAGGGCGGGTATTCACGTGAAGGAGTGATCTTGATAATCTTTTTCCCTCATCTTTTTTATCCTTGTATATATATGCATTATTTGCAGCCTTTTTATTTTATCATTTTTATATATAGTCATCTTTTTTATATTATCTTTTCATAATAGCTTATCTTTTTATCTTTATTCCTTCTTTTCCTTTTGGTTGTGATATCATGTATCGATTCATGTTAGCCGACCCCAATATCTTTTGGGACTAAGGCTTGGATGTTGTTGTTGTTGTATAAAATAAATAAATGTTTATTTATTTGAAACACTACATTGTGACTTGTATCAATATCACATTTGCAAATTACAGATTTACAATTGAGATTTGAGAATAGTTTTCAGTGGAAAATTACAATACATGAACTATTCGTCAGAGTCACTTCCGGCGTCGATTGTCGTTTCCTCCATGAAATGGCGATCTGGTGCTATGTTGACTTCTTGAGTTCTACGGCGGGCTTCAACCAATCATGGAAGCAAACGAGTGTCTCAAGAGATGAAGCGCTCAACCTCGTTCTATAGTAAGTCAAAACGTTCTCAGCTTACCTAAACTCTTGTTCCACGACAACAGTTTAAACCGGCAATGACAACACTTGTTTGACCTGATGGATAGTCTACCCGGGGGTATATATCCGAAGGGTTATTGCTGGGAATAACTTAGAGAGAAGTCAGAGCAAGCAAATGTAGAGAGAGAGAGTGTATTATAAATGTGGAGCGTTTTCAGCGTGGTTATAAATGGGGAAATGGGGTGCTATTTATAGTAGCAATAAATGCCGGACAGGGACACGTGTCAAGCGCTCATTGGCCGAGGGGTCACCTCAACTGGTTGGCGCTGGCAGCCGCATGTGGCCGCATTTAATGCGGCTGTTGGATGGGACGTCTGTGCAGGGTACGGTGATCTGTACGCATGTGAGGTGAATATCTTGTCGAGTGAGATGCCTTCGGCTTATAGAGCAGTAGCCGAGGGTGTGACACTCCAAAAATTTAAATAAAAATAAAAATAGAATGTAATACTTAAGAATTTGGTTATTTTAGTTTATGTTTCGGGACGAAACGTCTTTTAAGGAGGGTAGAATGTGACACTTCAAAAATTTAAAAAAAAAATATATATATTTATTAGTCAGATAAAATGTTACGGAAATGACATTTTAATTATTAAGTGAGTCAAACAAAAATTCAAGAGTCGTGATATTCTCATCAGATAAAATTTCAAAATTTACGACGCTTTAGTCAGATAAAAATATTTCAATAATAGAAATAACATTTTTATGATAGTTATGAAAGTGACATTTTTTATAAATGTTAAAAACAATTAATAATAGTTGAACAAATTATTAATTATACACATAAAAACACATATGTAGTAATAATGTTAGAATACAAAACCTAGTATAAACTAATTAAACCTACGGTAAAGATTAAAACCTACTATGTACGAAGTACATAACAAAAGAAAAGAAAAAAAAAATTTAAAACCTACGTAAACAAAAAGGAAAAGAAAAATACTAAACCTACGTAAACTAGGTATATATATTAACTATACTCCTAAGCGAGGTAAACTACCAACGGTGAGGCCGGAAGAAGCTAATTATATTCAACTCAAAATCTAACATCTCAGCCTAAAACCCTCATCTTCCCCTATAAATAATAGGCCAGAACCTGCGTTTTCTTCATCCCAAAAACTAAGAAATATACATATATACGTATTTATATATATTTTTACGACCCAGCGTTTTAGCCAGAAACAAGCCCTGAAAATACTTCTCAAATCTTCCCCTTCGTGATACGAATCCAACGAAAAAAGAATCGTCGAAAACGGTCGTGAAACGAGGGAGAAAAGCATCGCCGGAGTTTCGCCGGAGAAAAACTTTTCGACGGAAAACGGAGAAGAGGGAGGAGCTGCCGCTGCCGCCAACCCACCACCGTCATTCGCCGTCCCAAACGGAGCCAATAACCGGCCGTTTCGCTCGTCCGACGAGGTAACACCTCCCCCCCCCTTAAATTCCCGTTTTTCCGGCGACTTGGTGGAGAAGACGACCCAGCCAAGGCTGGGGTCTGTCTTGGGCCAGATTTTTTTGGGCCAGAATAATTTAATTTGGGCCAGTTCGGCCCAGTTGCAATAAAAATTAAAAATAAAATAGTAAATGAAATAAATAAAATCTGGAAAAATATAAATTAAATACCTAGTATAAATATACATATTCGGACCAACCAGAATTGGAAAATAATATTTGTAGCTATTTTTAATGGATTTCATGGTAATTGGGCCAATTTATACACATTTAGTAAATAATTAACTAAATAACGAAAATAATTATGAAATAAATATTGGAGTAAACTAGGATAAATATATGACTAACTAGGACCTTATGGACCATTTATAATTAATAAATATTAAGATTTAGTATATTTAATTGTAATTGAACCGGTTAATAGATATATGAAATTAAAGGAATAATTATGGAAAATAATTATAAAATAGATATCTGGACAACCTAGGTCGAATATAGACCCAAAATATATTTATGGACGGTTTTTAATTTATAAAGTCGTTTCTTAGTCTATTTATTTAAATTAGGCCATATAAAACTAGTTAAGTAATTAAATAAGGAAATATTAATATTAATAGTGATTATTGAATAAAAAATTGGATGTTGTAGTCAATTATATTCAGATATTTTATTTCAAATATTGAAAATTAATGGATAAAATTATTAAGGTAATTTTATTAATAGAAAGTGAGTAATCAAATAAATTCGGATAATTAATAAATTAAGTTAATAAATTCGAATAATAAAATAAAAGGAGAAAATCGGGTAAAGTAATTACAAATAGAATAAGTGACTAATTTATCATATTTAATTAAAAAGGTGATTATCTAGAGACCGGATTAGAGGAGGATAACTAGGAGCATCAGGACTTAAGGTAAGTTTCTCTGCCAATCCAAAATTGTTTCCTCGTATTATATGCTTATTATATGCATTATGTGATTAAGTGTGAATTGTGAATTTTGTGTATGTGATTTTGAGGAGATATTATATATATGGTAGTTAAGAAGTATAAATCAAGAACTTTTGGGGTATTAAATATTTTTAAATACCTTCGAGACTTTTTAGAGAAATTAAGAAGTATTTTTGAAGTATTATTAAGCGAAGATAAAATTTACATTTTCATAAGAAGTGAGCATCTCGGGAGTAATCCGAGGTGTCGGTTTTTCCACATCCGGATAAATGTGGAGGGTGATTAGAGCTACTACTACTAAGTACAGTTTATGTTTCAAGCAAGATTTGGATCTATGATCCCTTTTAAGTAAGATTTGGATCTATGATCCCTTTTAAGTGAGATTTGGATCTATGATCCCTTGAAGAAGAAGTTATAGTAGTAGTCCCTAATCATTCAAGAATTTTAGAATTGGGGTGGTTGGGTTCCGACCACTCGGGATGACTTACTACTCGGAGGGCTTGGAATCCCTTTTAGGGGGT